GAGCAGGGACTTGATCCAGGGACTCCAGGATCATGACCTGAGCCGAAGGCAGTCGCTTAACCAACTGAGCCACCCAGGCGCCCAAGATTTTATTTATTTGACAGAGAGAGAGTTAGCGAGAGCAGGAACACAAGCAGGGGGAGTGGGAGAGGGAGAAGCAGGCTTCCCGCTGAGCAGGGAGCCGATGCGGGCCGATCCTGGATCCTGGGATCACGACCTGAGCAGAAGGCAGATGCTTAACGACTGAGCCACCCAGGCGCCCCCAGTAAGAGCATATTATTTAAATATGTATTTAAGTAGATAAACAGGAGTTAGAAGTAGCTGGCTCTGGAAAGTGGGAGGAGGAAGAGTAGAGAAGAGACTACTATCATTTTTTCCTTTGTGAGACTTATAGTACAATGTGACTTTTAAAATTATGTACATGGTATAAATCTGAAACTAAATTATGAAAGTGAAAAAAAGTAAACAATATGTATGGGAAGAATTTCACTAAATGTAGGAAAAGCCTTGGAAATTATTTTTCTTTTCATAATCCATTTTGAAACCATTTTTCAAGCTAAACATTAAGAAGGTAAAAATATTCAAAGTACCCAAAGCATAATAAATTACTATAGGCCTGAAAAATTTCAACAGAAAAGTGTTATCTTTCTGGACAATAGTAGCATAGCCTCGATTCTGGCTAAAATAAAATGTACAATTAAATTACCTTGGAGGTTGAATTTTGAATTTTTCAAAGACTTCTGGATAAAGTAATGGAAACACCACCATCTCTTTTAGAGCTGCAATATGATTAGACAGGCCACCAACGCTATCAAATCGTACCTGATAATGGAAGGGAAACACAGACATTCTCAGATTTAGAGTCAAAGTTAAAATGTCATTCCATCCCTAAACTATACTCAACCCATATACAGTCAAATGAGTAACAGCATTTTAGTCGTAGCCTGAAGATTTGAAAAAAAGAAAAAAAAAAGTCTGTAAAATTTCTGATTTATAGAAAATTGGTTTATTTAACTTTAACTAAAGCAAACAGTATGTATGTTCAAGCATACATTTCAAGATAGTACTCACTGAAGAATCTAGTTGCATTGGATCAACATCTGCAAGACTTGCTCCAATCTTCATTCTATCTTTATAAATTCCTTTTAATTCATCTTTCCGAAAATTTAGCGGGAGGCACCTATTTAGAAAAGATTTTAAAAAAACACCCCATCAGTTCACTTTTCTCCCCCAAATTCCATGTTAAAATATGGATATTTTCCTTTTTAAAAAGGTTAAATTTCAATCACAGCCACTGTGAAAATATGTATTTCAACTTCCTCATTTTCTTCGTAGGTTGAGAACTTCAATGTTAGAAATCTCTGAAGTTTTATTATTAAAGATATACAGTCAAATGAAATACCACTGTTCAAGATGCCACAGCACCATAAAACAATTCATGTTTGGGAATCCAGTCTGTATCAATATACCTTATAATGACTGTGCTTAACATATACAGAATATTTACTATTTGCCAAGCTGTTTTAGGGGGCTTTACATGCAATTATTCATTAAGTCCTCATAACAGTCTTATGGAGTAGGCATTATTATTTCCCCTATTTTAAAAGAAAACTGAGGCATAAAAAGGTTAACTAAAATGCCCAAAGTCACACAAAGTGGCAGATCCAGGACTCAAACCAAAGCAGTGTGTCTCCAGACCTGCAACAACTCTGCTACAATACCTCTCAGCAAAACATTCACAGTCCACCAAGCATTTGGATCCACATCAATCCTCTCAAGCAAGAATGAATCACTGCTTTCCTAACTACTTTCAAAAACAGTTATGGTAGATAACACAGAATACACCTAGAAGAACCTGCTTGTTTCATAGATGGAGAATGCAAACTGCTCATGCTCGAGGCTGAGACACTTACGTCAGAGCACCTAAGCAAAGAAAGATGCTGCAGCTGAACACAAGTAAAAGCACTCCAGACCCACCCTGAGTGCCAGTCCTGCTAAGCACCAGACTCCACAAGGAATTTACGCTATGAAATCGGAGATGGACACGTTTTAACTGTGGCTTTGTAATGAAAGGTATTTCCTAAATAATCCTTAACAGAAATATAACTGCATGCTATAAAATCCACAGGATTAGATGCACATTTCTAGGAATGAAGGCAAAGAAAAATCCAAGTAGTCTAAATAATACAAGTTGTGGATGATCTAACACATTGCTGCCAACAGAAATGAAATGCAAGTCAAAATGTAATTTAAAATTTTGTTTAGACACACTAAAACAAAAAAGTAAAACTAATTTTAACAATATATTTTACTTATCTAAAACATACCATTTCAATATGCAAAATAAATATTTACAAAATTGGGATATTTTACATTCTTTCTTGTACTAAATCTTTGAAATCCAAGAGTATATTTTTTACAAAAATTTATAATATTTCTCAATTCAAATTAGCTACATTTCAAGTGCCTAATAGCCACACATAACGAGTGACTACCACATTAGGGCAGATCTAATGTTATAAAAGAACAGAGTTTAGGATACAAAGAATGGTTGGTTTGCAAATCCCTTCAATTATTATATTCTGTTTCATCAAACATTACTTTCTACTCTATAAAAATATTATTTTATTGGGATACAAGCACTGCATTTTTCACTCACCCACCCACATCTGTAAAATGGGAATAATCCTTGCTGTGAACTTACATATGAACTTACGAACGTACATGAACTTATACTACAGAATAATGAAATGAGTAAACTCCTTAATTTTCCTAAAGAGTTCTACAATAAGAATGTACTATTGAATTATTATAAACAGAAAATACATTTGAAATGAAAAAAAAACTTTATTTCTTCATGTCAGTGTTTACCAAGCACCATTTTGAGCTATACAATGGTTGTGTCAGAAAACATATGTTCTAATCTATTACTAGTTTCACATACAGATATTTCAAACAAGATGGCATTCCGGTTTATACATTAACCTCTTACTTAATTCTTAAATTTGATCAAGCTGTACCTATTCCCAAATTATTCAGCCTTCTCAGCACTTAAAAAAAAATAGCTTGTAGTTTTAAAAGGCATCAGTATGACACTTACCTGTTGATAGCTCTATTACGGCTCCTTTTTCTTCGCCTCTCAAAGTGTTGTTCATCTTCAGAAGAGGAAGATGAAGTAGAGTCACTACTGTGGATTGCATGCCTTCGCCTAAAGTAAAGAGGAAAACTGAAATCATGATGAAGGAGGGCAGGAAAAAGAGGCGTAAGATGCAAACATCAGAAATACCTAAGGATCCAAAAAGGTTTATCATAAAATCAATACGTTTGCTGAACCAATGAAGTAGGCTTTGTTGGTTGAATTTTTTTGAAAGGAATAAAAGAGTTGGATAACAAGAGGAAGGGAAAAAAAAAGATAGGAAGCTGGGGTAAAGCTGACAACCATATGTTCGTTATGATAGGACATGGTTCAGGCAGAATGACTTCTTAGTCTTTTTTTTTTTTAAAGATTTTATTTATTTATTTGAGACAGAGAGAATGAGATACAGAGAGCATGAGAGGGAGGAGGGTCAGAGGGAGAAGCAGACTCCCTGCCGAGCAGGGAGCCCGATGCGGGACTCGATCCCGGGACTCCAGGATCATGACCTGAGCCGAAGGCAGTCGCTTAACCAACTGAGCCACCCAGGCGCCCTTCTTAGTCTTGATATAAATCAGTTTTCCTCAAAGAGAAAGGTGGGAAAAAGAGGGTTTTAGACTCTTTGGGACTGTAATTTCAGAAAGTATTTTCAATATTATACTATATATAATTTCACATCTGGAAGGGAATCATCTTTTGAAATCTCAACCTTAAAAGGAGAACACGAGAGTTTTTATGTAAACCAGAAAGGATCAAGAAGTTCAAATACAAGGAAACCAGTGAGAAATAAGATGGCCTTTTCTCTACAGTATATCATCAACTATAAATTCACAACTGCCACTTAACAGCTGTGTAAATGTGGATGAGTTACCTAAACCATATAAGCCTTAATTTTCTCACTTACAAAAAAGGGATAAGAATATAATCAAATTCTTAGGCTAGCTGGTAGTATTAAATAAGATGCCAAGTGCTACAAATATTGAAAAAAGTTTTAAATCACTTCTACCTTTGCATTGTTGCAAAAGACCCACAGGAAAGACAAAGAATCTAGCTGGGAAAGCCTTTAATTGTTCTATTGCCTCAGGGTTTAGAGCTTTTCCTGAATTAGAGTGCAATCATAGTAAGTAGGTATTTCCAAAAATATAAAAGGTTCACAATCTATTATCTGCATAATGTAGGTCCAGAATCTTGTACATGGAAAACAAGTTTCTCCACTATTCACATAGCAGGATCTGACATGTCATAAAGGCAATTCAGTCTCTATTTGTCCCACTTACAATGATTATTCTTATGTTCTGCTATAGAACACATCTGACTAGGTGTTACTGGCTCAGACACTCCTAGAGATGTTAATGTTGCACATTACCTTTGTGACTCCCCCCTGCCCTCCAACCTGAATTCTGAAACACAAATGGCCCCAAGAGTTTTGGCTAGGGGTTACAGAAACACAGACATAAATGAGAAAGTGATCCTCCACTGTCCACCTCTCAAACATGCCCAAGACCATTTTTGTGATCAGCCTGAAACTAAAACTATCTAGCACAAGTCTGCAATTTTATATGAAAGACGAATTTAATATTCCCATTAATATTACAAAAAGACTAACTTGTAAGCACATAATTCATATAACTGTGTGAATTCAGTATATATTCACATAATTAAGACCAACTTCACAATTAATAAAAAGGACTAACGATTATTAAGTGCTTCTTATACCAGTTAGTAGACATATTATCTCATTTAATCTTAAACTTTGGACAAGTACATATGGCATGCTCATTTAGAGTTGAGGCCAATGTGGCTGGCTCACAGTTTAGACAACTTGCTCAAAACGAACGAATGAGACGATGATGGTGTCTGAATTCAAACCGTTGTCTTTCTATTCCAAAAATCCACATTCTGTATATACTGATTTCCAGTTGTTGATTTCACAAACCAAAAGAGTTAAAGTATAGTTAAAATAACAAAAACATACAGCAATCAATGAGCCAGATAGTATCTTAAATGCTTTACATGCATTAACTCATCTAATTCTCTCAATACTGTGAGAGAGATAATATTGTTCTCCTCATTCTATGGGTCCAAAAACTGACACAAGAGACGGTAAGTAACTTGCTATAAAGGTCACTAATAAATGGAACAACTGGGCTTGCAATCTGGGCAGTCATAGTCATGGGCCCAGGTTCTTCATAACTATACTGTAGAAAGGCCATTATTTCAGTTTTAAAAAGATTCTAAACACACATTCACTTATTTTTTTTTCCACTTTGCTTTTTAAAAACATCTGAACTTCTGGCATGGATAAACACTGGGTCAGCGCTGTGAGTCTAACCAGTGTCTAGAGCTGCCAGTCCCAGCACCTTGACAACAGGTAAGGAATACTCTGGAATACTATTATGTTACCTTCGCGTTCAAAGGGACTAGGCTTGTTCCAGAAACTGCAGACTGAAGCTAAAGAATAAACCTTAGATGAGTAGAGGTTAGCAATCATAAGAAAGAAAATCCTGCTTAGAGGCAGCATTCCTGAAGCTCGGCTATAAGTATGCCAAAGACCCTTGGAAGGTCCTCCTCTGTGGGTGCAAGGTTTCTGGACCACTTGCCATGGATACTAAGAGCAATGTTCAAACGATTCTTTGGATGTGTGCTTTGTTTCCATGCCTAAGTAAGTGAAGTAGGACATGAACTATAAACAAGCTGGTCTCTTCAATAAAAAGTAAAAAGGCTGAGCAAAATTACCATGAAGGTTGTTAAAGGGGGAAGAGATGTTTACACAGCCTTGGCAAGAGTGTTACAAAAAAAGGGGGGGGCTTAAAGGGCTACATTCAAAAGGTCAGATAATAATAAGTGTTAGTTAAGATGTGGAGAAATTGGAACTCTCATACATTCCTTGTGCGAATGTAAAATAAAGCAGCCATTCTGGAAAATAATCTGATAATTCCTTGAAACAGTAAATATAGTTAGCATTTGATCTAGCAATTCCACTTCTAGGTACATACTTAAGAGAAGTGAAAACATAAGTCCACACAAAAAGTTGTTCACAAATGTTCATGATAGTATTCACAGTAGCCAAAAAGTAGAAACAACCCAAATGTTTATCAACTGATAAATGGATAAACTAAATATGGTATATTTATACAGTGGAATCTTATTTGGTATTAAAAAAAAGAAGTACTGTACATGCTAAATGTGGATGAACCTTGAAAATGTTGTACCAAGTGAAAGAAGCCACTCACAAAAGAGTGCACATAAACGGAATACCCAGAATAGGCAAATCTTGAGAGACAGAAAATATATTACTGGTTGCTTAGGGTTGGGGGTGGGGGCTGGAGGGATTGGAGATAACTAAAGAATACAGGGTTTCTTTCTGAGACAAGAAAAATGTTCTAAAATTGTGGTGAGAGCTGCACAACTATGAAAATACTAAAAGTCCTTGAATTGTACACTTTAAATGGGTGACCTATATGGTATGTGAATTATATCTCAATAAAACTGTTAACCAAAAAGCAAAAATCTTTACAAAGCTATCAAAACCAAAACCAAAATCATTAAGTCAAATAATGTTGACTCAGGGTACAATTTAAATCTCTTAGTTCATACTTTAATTTAAATGTGTCAGGATGGATAAACAAACATAAAGCAGATCAGACCTATAAATATAGAGAACTGCTGGTTGCGAGACAGGGGGTTCTGAGGGGGTGTGGGCAAAATGGGTGACCAGGAGTGGGAGATATAGGCTTCCAATAATGGAATGATGAAATTACAGGAGTTAAAGGCACAGCATAGGGAATACTGTCAATAGTATTTTAATAGCATTGTTACAGTGACAGATGACAGCTCCACTTGTAGTGACCACTGCATAACATACAGTTGCTGAATCACTATGTTGTATAACTGAAACTCATGTAACACGTGTGTCAACTACAGTCAAATAATAAATAAATAAAATACACAAATAAAAAATATAAAATAAATGTGTCAGAATCTTCCACTAGTCAATGCGATCCAAGGGCAGGAATCCTGACTTAGTCATTTTTATATGCATAGTGCTTAACACATGGTAGTACTCAAACATTTGTTAAATAATTGTAGTGGGAAAAAAAAATCCCGTACCCAAAGAGCTATGAGACACTTTCCATAAAGGGTAGACTCTGTAAACCAGATATGGGAACTTGAGCACCAAACAGGCAAAAAAAACCCAAAAAAAATCCTACCTGTTGCAAGATAACATAGCAGGTGGTGATTATAGAGGCAGTCAGTCATTAAGTAAGTTACTTTCAGAAACATATATCCATTAAAAGAAAGAAAAGAAACTAAATCTCAAAGTAAGTGCCAGCCTTTCACTTCTGTTGGATCTAATAGAGGTTTGTCCTTTGAGTCAGGCAACCAAGACAGCTGCCCTGGGCCTTATGCTTGGTGGGATTCCAGGGAACATTATGCCTTATCCTGATTTTCTGAAGATCATTAGATTTCACCACCAAAATACTGGTCTTTAACAATATTTTTAGGGGCCTATGAAAAGTAATGAGAGTGTGGCCTCCTTTCAGTGCAACTTATCTTGGGCAGCCCTGACAGGTTACCCTCCTGGTCCTCCATCCTTCTGGGCTCTGATTGTATGAAAAGGGATGACGAAACAGGAAATCTAGAATGTACACTTTTGATTTTTGACACTCTGATAATGAAATTAAAAGAGCCAGGGACACAAGTAGTATTTCATATTTTTCCTAGAAGAGAAGAATTTGTTAGCACCTATGAAAGTGTTGCTTTCTGTGATTAGATAGTTTGCTTCTATGAGGAGACTTTCAAGAACTGTGTGAATAGTTGAAGTCTTGAAGGATTTGTCTCACCTCTGAGAAAATTAGTATTAGGAAAAAGTACCATTTCCATATCAATGTGCTTTTTTTTTTTTTTTGCCTTCTTTAGTCTTCACCAACAAACTCTCTCATTCATGAATTACTATAATGTTACTATTACCCAAAAAGTTCTAGTGAATCAGAAAACCTTTTATTACTTGGGAGAATGAGAAAATAACAAGAATTACCTCTTTGGACTTAATTATGACATACAACCAACAAATGTTAGGATGTGGAAGGGGAAAAAATCTACAAGTAATTTGAATGGTCAAAGAAAAAATGCTTCCTACTATACAAAAGAAATGAATTTTTAAAAAGTGGAATTAAAACCTGGAAAAAAGGGGCGCCTGGGTGGCTCAGTTGGTTAAGCGACTGCCTTCGGCTCAGGTCATGATCCCAGGGTCCTGGGATCGAGTCCCACATCGGGCTCCCTGCTCTGCGGGAAGCCTGCTTCTCCCTCTCCCACTCCCCCTGCTTGTGTTCCCTCTCTCGCTGTGTCTCTCTCTGTCAAATAAATAAAAAAAATTAAAAAAAAAAAAAACCTGGAAAAAAAACAGATCTAGAAAAGGATGGTATCATGAAAAGTCTAGAAAGTTATGTAACCTAGAATGTTTGTCATAGTGAGAAAATATGTCTGTGATACTATGCGAAGACAAGACTACACCTATACTCAAACAATGTGAAGTTTAAATGAAACAGCCTATGTAAGATGCTTAACACCAAGCCAGGAATACAGTAAACACTGAAGCAAAGGTAGCCTCTATTATTAAAGTGTGGAACAATGGAATAAACTACCTTACCATGGTAGTTATTAACAATTCCTATTAATGGAAGCAAAAGCAAAAACCAGTCAGTGGTAGTAAGGGTAAGAGCATTATAGGAATAGAGCTAACTCTCCCAAATATATGGTTCTAGAATTCTATTTGGATACACCCAATCCTAAGACTCTAGAATCCTACCCTAACATAGCCATAATTATGTTGTCATAAATCAATCACTACTTCAGAACCAAACCTGTTCATTCGTTTACAGTAAGGACTTCTTGGTCCAGCAGAAGATAATCTGTATCTTGGTCTTGCAGGAGAAGCTGGGCCACTATAAAATATGTTGGGCTTTCTCTGGTGACGAGGTTCTAAAAAGAAGAATTATAAGTATGTAATATATAAATACGTATGAAAATAATTTTGCTCTTCATCTAAATACTCAAAAAGGTGCTGCCTTCCGTGAAAATACTAGTACATACCTACTATAGACTGTTTTACTGTTCACATTTTAAATCTTTTATATCTGCAGGGTTGCTTTTGAAAATATGTATAGCACAGACACCAACCAACCAAAACATACACTGGCCATAAACAACCATTACGATTATACTGATGCATAACAGCTGGTTATCAGCCCTGCATATATATGCTCATAAGTACTGAGGTATAACTTTAACATAAATCAAAAAAGGTCCTATTTACACAAAGTGGCAAAATAACCTAAGTAGAAAGCTGTAAAATCTAAATAAATAAATAAATCTAAAATAATTAAACACAGACATGAAATTTCAAAATGGCCCATTTGCTTTGGTCAAGGCTCATATCTAACTTTCGTGAAGAAATGATTTCTTGCACATTTAGCATAGTTTATGAAAGACAACAGCCATGAGTATTCTGTAAAATGAAAACATGAAAAATAAGAGAGAAAAGGCAGTAAAGATAAAGGTAATATAATTACAGCTTCTCCTGGAAAAAATATATATAGCACTTACTTTCCAGTGGAGCCTGGTAGTACACAGTAGCTTTTCTCTGTCTAAGATAATATCGTTTCTGATTATCTTCTTCCCCATCCTCTTCATCTTCATCATCTTCATCTTCATCATCTTCACCATCATCTTCATCTTCTTGGTCCTCACCCTCTTCAGATGATTCTACAGTTGAGAAACATTTACTTTCAAGATAGTCACTAAAATGTTAATGATTTTTAACACAGTGGAATTCAGGGAGAAAGAGACCCTCCTCTAAAAATTTATTTACTTCTAGATTGTTCATAGAAATGATCTGTAATTCTTTTGCAGCCTATAAATGAAGATTTTTACAAATGAAGTAAATTGTAGAATTAAAAATAACTAGGGGAAGGAAAAAGGAAGCAGGGAAAGAAGTTTAAAGGCTATTGTCAGTAGTACCAAACTAAAGGTTATGGTATTGCTGCTAATTTTATTAATATAAGTGACTATACTTAAGTTTCTAATTTAATTTAACATGTTGACAAATTAGAGTATCTCCTCACTTAGCTTTTGCCTTTCATATTTAAGTTTTAAATTCCATCCAGCCCTTCTGGCTGTCACTGAATTACATGGAGCGTTAACTCAAATAATCTGCTTGTGAAATTGTGAAACACCCTCACCAAATATTTAAAATGCATTTCAGAAAACCGGTTTTCACTCAAGAGAAGTTCTAATAAATTATAGCAGCAATTTCTAAACAGAAGAGCTAAACTTAATTTTTATCACCTTTTAACAGAGACGTGTTGTCTGCAGATACACTATACAAGCAAACTGGGTTTATTTGCTTTAGATTTGTTGATTTCAAGTATTTTCCCAAATAAGACATACTATTCTTTTAAGCTCTTCCCTGTCCTCACTTTTCAATTATGACCAATCCTTTGATCTCTCACAAACTACCATAAATGTCACAACTTCTGAATAAAAAAGCTATCTCCTACTAAATAAAAAGTGCTGAAATTCAAACCCAGGAGTAGAACAAAAGACTAACCCACACTGCCTTCTTGATTGTCAGTTGTTTCCTCATCCGTTCTTTGAATACCTTTTTGTTTTCCTCTCGTGTACATATTAAGATTCCCCTAAAAATGTTTAAACAAAAGCCATTAACATTGAGTATATTAAAAAAATTCAGTAGGATCTTCCTATCCTGCTTAAAATGCAGGTATTTACAGCTATAAACTCTTAAACTATAGCAGTAACTAGTGACTGATCAAACAAATGCTGGACAGTTTAAAAATGTTGAAAATGATGAATAATTTAACCAAAAAATGGATAGGTACCATAGAAAAAAGGTTATACTGGAGATCATTAAATTATCCCCTAAATGGAAGGAGATATATGTACATATTCTTTTTTATTGAAGTGTAGTTGACACACAATGTTACACTAGTTTCAGGGCTGAGGAAGGATATATTTACTTCTTCTGTTTCATTGAACACTCCCAAGTCTTCAAGTTCCCTCATTCGCTGTCTACGCATCTTCTTCATGTCATCCATTTTCTGAAGTACAGCTTCGGCAGTGCTTTAAGAAAATTGACATAATATAAGCTAAAATTGTAAAAGAGTAGCACATTATTAAAAACTTTATTTTTTTTTCCACTGTATTTTTTGAGTGCTGGGATTTTAAATATCTCTATACAAGGCGTTGATTCACTTGTGCAACAATATTCTAAAATTTCTTTCCAAGAATTTACTTTTTTAAGATTTTATTTATTTATTTGACAGAGAGAAAGAGAGAGCAAAGCAGGGGGAGTGGCAGGCAGAAGGAGAGGCTCAAACCCAGGACCACAGGATCATGACCTGAGCCGAAGGAAGACGCTTAACTGACTGAGCCACCCAGGTGCCCCTCTTTCCAAGAATTTAAATACATATATAGGACCATTACAAAGCCCTCCAATAATCATTCTCTTTTATGCTTTACACAGCTTAACATATTAAATATTTAAGCTAGTTGAAATTTATGATCCTTCCCCAACAAAAAATTTTGCCAGCTAAATCATCTTGATCTAAATAATTTTTACTTACTTTGTTATAAGTTTGTCAAACAGCACAGACTGGTTCACACTACTATAGCGACTTCTAATCCTGCAACTGCGGCGAACTTCAACGTCACCATTCTCTTCATGCAAGTGTTCTTTAGTTTGAACAATGTTTCTAGTCCTCAATGACCGAGTAACTGGAATCACTTTGTCTTCAAGATGTGTACATAAAAATGGAACGATTTTAAATAACGGCATTTATAAAACAATTCTAAAATGAACAAATGAATAGCTATACTTTCATAGAACAAAATCACAGTATCTTGAACTTACCGTTCTTAAAAATAATAGAAAACAAAAATAAAGTTACAACATACACTTACCATATGACCTAGGCATTCTGCTTTCCAGAGGAAAGGAAAGATATGTAATACAAAAATTTGTATACAAACGTTCAAATGTGATAGCCCCAAACTGGAAACAACCCAAATGTCCACCAAAAGAGGAATAAACAAATTATGGGAAACAACCTAAGTGTCCCTCAATGGATGAATGGATGAAGATGTAAAATATATACACAACAGAATACCATTCAGCCATGAGAAAGAATATCCTGCCGTTTGCAATACATGGATGGACCTTGAGGGCATTATGCTAAGTGAAAGAAGTCTGAGAAAGACAAATATTGTGTAATATCATTTAAATGTGGAATCTAAAAAAAGCCAAACTCATAGAAACAGACTAGGATGTTAGTTACCAAGGACTGGCTGGTGAGGGAAAAGGAGAGCTGTTGGTCAGAATATAAATTTCCAGCTAGAAGACATATAAATTCTGAGGATTTAATGTACAGCATAGAGATTATAGTTAGTAATACTGTATTACACACTTCAAAGTTGCTAAGAGAGTGGATCTTAAATGTTCTCACCACGAAAAAGAAATGGAAATTATGTGACATGATGCTGGTGTTAGCTAAAGCTATGATAATCATTTTGCAATATATAAATGTACCAAATCAACATTTATTGTACACTTTAAACATGCACAATGTTATATGTCAATTATATCAACAGAACTGGGCGGGGGACAAACTGTGGTATATCCATATAATGGAATACTTGGCAAGAAAATGAAACAATGTGGATGATACTGAAAGTAATTATGCTGAGAGAAAGAAAGTCAGACAAAAAGAATGCAACTGCATAATTTCATTTACATAAAACTCTAAAAAATGAAAACTAAATTATAGTGATAGAAAGCAGATTGGTGATTGCTCAGGAATCTTGGTGTGTGGAAGGCCTGGAGAGGAGTAGGGGGAGTGATTATAAAGAGGTCTGAGGGAGTTTCTGGCAGTGATAGTTATCTTCACTATCTTATTGCGGTGGTAGCTTCACGGCATACACTTAAAACAAACCAAACAAATTGTACACTTTAAATATGTACAGTTTATTTTATGTACCTCAATACATCTGTAAACAAAATATGAATTACATGTTTTCAATCTGAAATGCCTTTAACATTACTTACCTTCTTTGCACTCTTCTTTTTTCTTATCAGCCTGCTGTCTGGCCAACTGCCTATATGAAAAAATATATTATTCAAAATAATTGACATAATTTTAAATCCTATATTTCATAATACTACAAAGTAGGGTAAAAAGGTGTATCAGCTTAGAGAGTAAATACTCATAGGTACCTAAAAGCCTAAAAAACACTGAAAAATAAAAAGCTTTAGAATATCTATGCTTATGTCAGTTATGGCTAAACAAAGTCTGAGAACCCTGTTGTGAAATGCAATGATATATGTATTAACTCTTAAACAAAATTAATCAAATCAAAGTATGTTACTTAAAACAAGAAATTATATCCTTAGCCTAAGTATTTAGGTATAATTGAACTGTAATTATTGAGCATAAACAAGACAGTGTGTTTTATACCACAGGGATATAGTGATCCCACATCCTTGAGATATTTATAACTATAAACAGAACTAATGTCCCTTAGCAATATGTTAATTTCCTTCTAAAAACATTTGTTGGCTACAATCTCTATATGACATGCATTATCATTCACATGCAGAAACAGTCCCATTTGTGAATCAGATATTTCACTTAAAAACTGGCAGGCAGTACTGAAATTGGAAAGAATACTTTCCAAGGTTTTAAAAAAACAAGTACCCTCCCCCCATCTTTTTTCAAAAGCCACTGAGCAAACAAAACAGTATGTCTCATTAACTTATTTTTAGGGACTCAATTTTCCATACTTGGATAGCTACATCTATTAATCAACCTATGTGTCAAGCTATTTCCAAGTGGGCTGGTTATACACATGGGATTTCAAATGTGACACTTTAAAATAAAATGGAACCATCTTATCCAGAAGAGTCAAATCATGTATTCTCACAATGTAAGTCATCATTAATTCATTATCTCTTTTGTTAAGAACCAAGAACAAAATAAAAACATTTGAGCAATCTATCCACGGGTCAAGGCCTAGTTTGTTCATAGGCTTATAGACATTCCTCATAAAGGATCCCCTCCCTCCATACCATGTAGGTCTATACTTCTATAAACAAGGCCCCTATTAAATGCTAGGGACATAATGATTAAAACAATGTTTGTTCTTTCTTTCTCTCTTTTTCTTTCTCTCTCTCTGCCCTTCCTTCTTTTTCTCTCTTTCCTTCTTGCCTGTAGGGGAATGGGAACACCTTTCCCCTTACAGGGGTTGATAAACTTTTCCTTAAACGGGTGGGTAGCAAACACTTAGGCTTGTGAGTCATACAGTCTCTGGTCACACACAGCTTTAACACTGAAGCAGGGAAACAGCCATAGGCAGAACGATGGGTATGGCTGTGCTCCAGGGAAACTATTTACAAAAACAGGTGCCTGGACTTTTGTCAACCTCTGCAAATCTGATAAAAGCTATGGATCTTTTCTACCTAGAAAACTGCATACAGGGCGCCTGGGTGGCTCAGACGGTTAAGTGTCTGCCTTGGGCTCAGGTCATGATCCCAGGATCCTGGGATCGAGTCCCGCATCGGGCTCCCTGCTCCTTGGGAGCCTGCTTCTCCCTCTGCTTCTCTCTCTCTCTCATGAATAAATA